CTTCATACCACATAGTTATCAAAAAACCTCAACACTTATGAAGCAATCAGAAATTTATAAAGCAATGGTGGTTGTGTGTATGTAGATATTCTAAATATTATTTCAAATTCTTATTTTCAGGTTCATTTCCAATGCCTAAATAATTCCATTTCTACACTGAAGTGGGAGTGAAATAATTTTGCTTCTGCAATTATAAAAAGTTGAGAATTCAAATCAAAACTATGTTTTCTGAATACATTCTAATGCAAAATGGTGTTAATGAACCTTTAAGCACACATTTCAGGTGGGTATAACATGGCAGGCACAGCCATTCCTTCCATTCAGAATGTCTTCCTATTCCTTGCCCACTGGTGAACTCCTCTTTTGCCATCACAACTCATTTCTCTCCAAAGCCTTTTTCCCCTACTTACTGCCCCGCTCACACCCAGAAGTAGCCAGTCACTCCTTCTACCATGTTCCCTCTAGAGCTGCATGGACCCCATTACTGCCCTTCCCACCATGTATGTTTGCCTCTCTTCCCTCCCTGCTGTGAGAGCAGGATTTATGAACACACCTGGAGCCCCCCTCACCAAGGAAAGCCCTCAAATTTCAATAGAATGTTACAGAACATGCTGCCCTAATAGCTGAATATGAACATTGCTAAGAGTATACTAAATCTTAAAAGTTCTCATCACAAGAAAAAATTTGATACCTGTGAATGGTGACAGAGGTTAATTAGACTTATTGTATGATCATTTTATAATATATATAATATTGAATAATTATGTTGTACCCCTGAAACTAATATAATGTTGTATGTCAGTGAAAAAAATAAGTAAAACAAATAGTTGAATATGTGGACAATAGATTAGATTGTATAAACACATAATGTAGATTCATTTTGCTATTTTAATTTAACAATCCTAGGCCTTCTATTTTAATTAATTTTGCATGAGTCCTGTTCCTCCACCAAATAATGAGGTGCTAGAATACAGCAATTTTGTGACAACTATCCTGGTAAGCCCTGGCATCAGTTTTTTAAGAAAAACTTTAAAGGCAATAAGTACCATTTGCTGAAACTAATTTAAATCATTGTGACAGGCCTAAGTGCTCATTCAGTAGCCAGTGAAGTTAGGCCCTCGCTGAGTCACGTGATTCTAATACTCATTGCTGATATAGACAGTATGCTTTGTTGGGGGGCTCCACCGGCAGGGTCCCCCCGGCTGCCATGGATGAGAATAAGTCTACCAAGACATGATCTACTTGGGGAGGAAAGGTGGCCAATCTCTCAAAGGAGAAGGGCCAAGAGCCTTTTCTTCAACGAGCTTTTATTAGGTTTGTTTTGCACAGGAATACAGGTAAAGCTCATTAATCATTCTCAGGAAATAAGGATCAAACAATACATAACAAAGAGCTCTGAGGGCCTATTTTGAGTCAGGGTCAGATAGCTAAAGAGCTATAAAATTTTGAGGAACAAACTCACTTTTTGCTTGGACTTTTATTTAATTTAGAGCATTGTAAACAAATCAGGTTTCACAGGATTTTACATATTCTTTCTTAGCCTTGATTGCCCTAGGGAACCCTCCCTTTCCAGCACAGGGCAGTACCCACCACCAGCATTGTTTCAGGCTTAAGACATTGTCTCAGGCTTAAATCAGGCAGGGGTAGTGAGGCAGCCAAGAGATTAGGAGATTTCTTGCATTCAGAATGAGGACTCAGGCTTTGTCATAGCCAAGGGGTGAGGGTCCGCCACCCCCTTTTGTTGTAGTCCCCCAAGTCCTTCCTTGAGGCCTTCATGTGATCATGCCTGTCTTAGGTTATTCCACCCTTGGGGAATCTTACCATTGGCTAACCGACCAAGCATTGGGGGGCCAGTTATGGATGAAGTAAAAGCTCCTGCCAGGGAGATAAGTCACCTTAGTGGCTTATGGTCTGAAGGTCACTCACTCAGCCTTAGCCAAGGAGGGGGGAGGTGCATTACAGCTTCTGAAACCAGGCAGGGCAGTTCCCAACAATGCTTAAATCAGTAATTAGCCCAGGCACTCAGGACACTATGATTCTGCAACTAAGTCCAACAGATCATGAAAATGTCAACAAAACTGTAACAGCCCTTCTGGAAAGCTGGTTCACTATAACACCACAGATTTTGCTGAAACTGTGTAAATTTCCTCTCTAAATTCCCATTAGAATCACAATCTTCAAAATTCAGCATCAGCATCAAATTATCACCAAAACCCAATAACTTAGCTCTCTCTTTAGAAACCTAAAGTGTTAAACTTCCTCACAATTTTTATGATTGGTGTGCCTCTACCATGTGCAATGATTTCCCCACACATGCACTGAGATACTTTGTGACATACTTTGCAGAATCCTGAGAAGTTGCCTGGTGATTCATCTTCAGTGTAATATGAGGTGGAGGAATGATGAAAAGGTGGAAATTGGGTTGTTTCCAGAAATTCTAAATAACATTCAGATACTGTTCATTCACAAAAATGTAACTCACTAACTGAGCATTTTCTTTTCTATTTTTTCTTTTCTTTTTCTTTTTTTTTTTTTTTTAGTCCTTGTAGTATCAAATGAGGAAAGAGACAGATGTCTGATCCATTCTCTCATGATATAGCTGGGGAAAGCCAGTCACTGGACTCAAAAATAGATATTGTTGCCACTTACCAGCCACATGGCTTTGGATAGCTCACTTCATATTGTTAGACTCAGTTTCTCCACCTAAAATGTGGTAAATATCCTCCCTCTTTATTGCACAAAAGAGTCTGTCAAGGATTTACTGAGATAGTGTCTATGAAACATGCCCTAACATCACTAAGAAAAATACAAAAATAAATTATATAAAATGTGCAGAGAGGCAAAAAGAAATGCCAAATATTTTCCCTGTCCATAAGAAGTTTATAATTTCAAAGTGAATTTTAAAAACTCATTCTAATGAATGAATAATGAATTACTCTCAGTGGATAGAATCACACCACAGACATGCAGCTGTGGAGTATCTTCAATAATGGCTAAAGGGACAGGGTGGGGGAATTATGGATAACTCAACTGCAAAGCAGAAATGACATCTGCAGCCACACAAACAGAGGAGTGTGTTTTGGTGATGAACAAAAGATTGTTTCATGCTTTGAAAAGATACTGGCTTATTTAACATCTACAAAGCACCTATGGTTCAGTTTCAATAGTACAATGTAATATAGTACAACAGAGGCATGTCATTTCAAAAATAACTTGAGTTCTCCATTTGCATGTATTGAACACTGTGATCATAGCAAAACTTTGTTAAAATTTCTTCTTTTTATTCATTCCTCAACACTTAACTCACATTCCACAGTAGTCCTGGAGCATATTTCTTATTTATCTGGGAATCACCCACTCTGGCTAAAAATAGCCCATGAGGAGGTAACCTCTCTCTTTCACCACAAAGCTGTGGTTCCCAGCATCTGAGAACACAACTCCCACACCCTTGCCACGTGGCCACCACCACACAACACCACCATCAGTGGCCTCTGGCACAGAGACTTCTGGGAAGTATCACTGGTCTTCTGCTCCCAATGTTTTTTCTTATGATAACTGTGACAAACATCTCCCCTGTCCTCTTCATTTCTGTAAGGATGGGAGAAAGTTGTAGACTCCACATTAATAACTTCTATCCCATCACTTTTATTTGAGGTTAGGTTTAGTATAGAGAGTTGAAAATTTCAAATTTGGGGAGGGTGGAGAAGACTGGCTTGACCTGATGGGGGAATGTGAGCAGTCAGGCAGGACAGGGTTGGTACGTAGTGAACAGAGTAATGGGGACTCCATGGTTTATTTGATCCCAAATATTCTGATGAGTGAAACTATTAAAAAAAATAGCCAGACCCTATATCATAACATTGAAATTTGAAAGGTAAAATAAATGCGTATGTGAGTTTTGCTTCCCGTGTCTCTTGAGCGCAGACCTTGAAGCCTTGTTTGGGAGCTGCAGTGAGGTACCAACCGCAAGCTTTCAGACATCCTTAACTGAAGCTCTTGCTCTCACTCTCTCTCTCTCTCTCTGTTAAGTCTTACAAAGTATTTGGTATTTTGCAAGGCACTACTCTTAGCAATTTATGTATATTAAATAATTTAATTTTCACAATGTTGTGAAACAGTGCTAGTAATATCCCTGCTTTTTTATATGACAAAACCAAGGCATCAAGAAACCAAGTAACTGATCCAAGAGGGACAGCCAGGGTTCCTGATGATCTGGTTTCAGAATCAAAGCTCTTGGGCACTACATTATCCTGCCTCCCAACTAATGACTCAGTCTAGGGAGGGGTGCACATGGAGCATGAACCTAAATATTAAAAGAGTATAACAATGAGGAGAAAGTCAGTGGTATTACAGAAGCCAAAGGAGGAACAATTTCAAAGAAGTTTCAAAAGATGTCAATGTACAGAAAAGTCAGCAAAGGCCTAGAAAACTGTCCATTGGCTTTGGCAATGACGGAGTGACTAGCGACTTATTCCAAGTCAGTTTCCATGGGGTGGATGGACAAGAGCCAGAGTGCTCACTGAGCTGGAGCGTGGAGAGGTTTTACTCCAAGAGGACTTAAGCACAGAAAGGAGAAATGGTTCATCCCCTTGAAACAGAACGTCATCATTGCAAGACACTTCCTTCCCTTTGTGTTTCTTCTCTTCTCCATTCCATTGTTAACACATTTCTAAGGAAGAAGGGACAGATGGTAATGAGGCCTTCGGTGGTGTGGACATTAGGCAAAGGAAAGGCTTAAGGGAAATGCTCAGTTTGCAGAGCTTTTCATTATGGATGGACTGAAGACAGGGCTGCATCGCTGAAGTGATGGAGGAGAAGGCCACATGGAGATGATAAATCAAACACCAGGAGAGAGAAGAGGGCCTGAACATTTTAGGCAACATGACTAGAGTGTGACCTACACCTCGCTCCAATCTTGTTGTCACCACTGGGTCCAGTAGGCTGTGACACAAGGTCAGTTTAACCCACTCTAAAATGTGAGAGGTGCAATAATCTGTGAGGTGCTCACTTCAGCAGCACATACATGTACTAAAATGGGAATGATACAGAGAAGATTAGCATGGCCCCTGTGCAAGAATGACAAATTCATGACAAATTCATGAGGCATTTCATATTTAAAAATAAGTAAGTAAACAAATAATCTGTTAGGTCCTTCTCATTTTTAAGTTCTATGACCCTGTAAGTATTAACCTAAGTATAGCATTGGCCAAAATACCCCACTTTTCCATCACCATAACTTTCCTTCTCTAACCTTAATTTCCTTAGTTGCGGAGACATAAAATACACTTGCTACCAAAGCCAAGGCAGTTCATGACCCTGAGTGTATTGAGAAAGAGAAAACAAGAAGCTTAACATCTCCGGCATTTTTTCTGGGTCATCCTGACACACTGGGCCGAAAGAAAGCTTGAACTGTCACAGTGTAGTGATCAGAATGCCAGCCTGTAAAACTACAAGACTAGAAGTTTTATTAAGATTGTTATCTGCTACAAATAAAAAATAACAAAACCTCTGTGTAAAGAAAAGCCCTTTCTCTGCATCTGCATTATATTTAATGATGTGACATAAACATTGTATATTGCAAAATTTCCCACTCTGGCCCTTGAAGTACATAAAACCTTATCAGCAGGCCTCAGGTGCAGGCCAAATGGTTCACAAAAAGTTACAAGGAAGTGGAAAGAAAAATTGAAATAGGAAAGAGAAGTTTTTATTCTCTTTTTACCAGAATAGCAAGAACATACAAATGCCAATGACCTTGAATATAGAAAACTGAAGAGGTTTTTCCTCTCACAATGGAAATGACCTTGGCAAGTTTCAGAGCATTCAAATAAATAATATATACGCCACCTACCACAGGAAAGTTTTTAAAGTAAAGGTTTACTTTTGTGTCTTTATACTACTAAAAAATTTGTCAGGGGAGAGCTATAAATTAAGTGATGTTTTCCTGCTATGTCTAATTTTCCAGATTAACTAGATTTTATTACAGAACAAAAATATGTGCCAGATTCAAATGCATAATAATTACTTAGTGTCTGGACTGACATAATAACTCAGTGGGTTAGAACCTGAGTTTATAAACAAATACTAAAAGTTCAGACCTAACACTAAAGCCAGCCAGTTTCCCTTTAGAGCCCATCCACTGCCTTGTGAACATGTGACCCTTACTATGAGAGGGAGAGAGGAGGGCTGGACAGAGCAGCACAGCCAGTGCAGCTACCACCAGCAGCAATTCAAGGAGCATCCTCTATGGGCAGCGGGCCAGACATCATCATGCTCTCTGCCTATGAAAGGCAGGTCATGACAATATTTCTATGGCATGGCCTCAGAACCAATATTCAAAGCTACCTTACTGACTTTGATTATAATAATCCAAGTTCTCGGAAATCAGTTATTCAGGTTGGGAAAGTTTCTCAATAACAAGAAAACTCTATTTTGATCTCTCTCAAGTTCCACTTTTGCTGTATCTCCTCCATGGGCATGTATAAATATGGCTTATCTCAAGACATCTTAGAGTGCCAATTTAAAATAGTTTTCTGGGTTAATTCTTACAAATATCATGAATCTATTTTTTAGTGCATGTTTGAAGACTGCCTACTACTATATAGCCTTAGAAACATTCATGCATTTGCAGGTATAAGAATGTGTACATCACCCACCATGCATCACACTTATCCAAACAAGTTTTCTTATATCTATGATATATTTTGATGCAATACCTCAGATTAATCAGTTAGTAATAAGTATGACAGATCCTTTCCTCACTGATCCTTTCCTCCTTTGAATCACACTTCAAAGTAGATCACCACAATTTTGTCTGAGTTAATATAATGAGACCCTCTTGAGACTCTCTCTTTTTCTCCCTCCCAATATGAATGTGGGTCACCTTATAGGTATCCAAGGAAGTCAGGTTCCATTATAAACCATAATTTATTTAAAGAATAACATTAATGTACCTGTTCCATCTATTTCAAATGTAAAATAATAGTTAAAATTACTTTCTCTAACCTTATTTGAGTAGTATTATTATGATATTATTATTATAGACTCCACACAGCATCCATTATCTGATGGATCTCATTCCATTTTTGTCATTGCTGCTCATTAAAGGTTAAATTATACTAACTCATTAATTTATTCTGTTACAGTAAGATTGTCCAAGAATGCTTGAGGTTGGACTAATTGTATAAATACACGTTGGGATTGCACAGAATGTCCTTTAACCCTAAAATAATATAATCAGTCATATAAAAACATTTAATGAAAGTCTCACCGGAAAAAAAGGTAATCAAGTTAATAATATCAGATTCACAAGAAGAAACTATGTCACTGTTTATCAGGCACTGTTCAAGGCAGACACAAGCAATCTCGCCACTAGAGATGTTCTCCACTGAAGTCTGGTAACATGTTATCATACTTCCTCAGGGCTTAGGAGAAACACCCCAACAAGCCATTCTGTTACTACTACCTGTAACACACCAGAATTACTTGAGTAACATGAAAAGAAAGGCATTAGTCTACTCTGACAAGTGACTTCAAACAGCCCTGAAATACAGTGGCCTGAATAAGAAGATCAAGGTTTATTACTCTCTCACAGAGCGGTCTGAATATGAGCAACCTAGGCCTGGTGACCTACATATGACAATCAGGGTTGTCCCAGTTTTTATCATTCCCCAGTCAGTATCAGGAAAAAAAGTGTCTTGGATGAAATAATTAATGTTGAAGGAGATAATTCAGGAATCATACATATTCCTTCTGCTCACATCCAATTGGTCAGCAATTAGCTGCGAGGAAAATGCCATCCCTAGCTGGGCGGGTTTCTACTAAAAAGAAGAGGAGAAAGGGTACTAGGAGGAACTTGTTAGTCTGCCACATTCCAACCATCTGGTCATCCAAGTACTCATGCACAGTCATTTTTGAACATATAAAACATATTCACACCTTTCCCAAGTCCCCCACAGTTCATCCAGCTCAAAGCCCTGGGTGTCTAAGTGACACAAAGTCCTTTGCATCATGTCCCATTGAGGCTGCTTCCATTTCAGTGACCTACAGACTGATGATACACAAGTGTTTCTCTCTTTCTCTGTCTCTCTCTCTCTTTCTCACACACACACACACACACACACACACACACCAATGGTAGAAAAGGAAAAGAGTATAGCTGTGATGAAATCTTCTATTCATAAAAGACAAGAATGGCACACACACACAAAGCAATGGATGGTTCACAATGATGGTGAGTCTTGCTAGGTGGGATTTAGGGAGACTCCTTTTCCTGGAAGTATAGGAGTTCTCCTGATTGCAATGTGGTTCTGCTCACAGTTCTCTTGATTGGCACCTCCTTGTCAATTATTCTCTGTGGTCCAATGGCATTGCACTCCAGTTGGTTTTCTCTCATTCACCATCATAGTGGCCCAAGAACCAAAGAAGGGGTCCTTGGCACATACTCCAGCTTTCTGCTGGTATAGGTTTAGGTGAGGTGGGGGGAGAAGTATATTTTTTATTATCTTCTCATTATGTTTAAATTCTTGAAATTCTGTGTCACACAGCACACACCCATTTGCAACATCACAGTCTTCAGATGGCTCTGGGCATTGCCCACCTTTCAGCCCAGATATTATTCTCTCCAAGTTCTACAAACACCAAAATTATGACTCATGGGAATATTATTATTCAGAAGACAGCCATATAAATGTGCTAGACAACATTCTAAGGTTAAGTAGAAAACAAGCTTCCTACTGATGATAGTTCATTGCTTTTTAAACCAGGTTCCCAGTATATCATTTGAGATTTTTTAATATTTCAACACATTCTGCATCTGGAATTATAATTCCACTCTCTTCTTCTAATCAGTAATAATTTCACTTCCCAGATACATTGATAACAGGAAGTACATGTCTTGGGTAAGAGATTCACAAAAGGTCTGTCACCCAGCATAAATTGTATATGATGCTTTTATGCATGAGATGTATGCGCATTTAATAACAGTGAGTCTGTCATCAAGAGACAATAACCTCTGGTCTAACCAGGCAAATCTTGTTCCTAGACCTGCAAAGAATGGGAAAACAATAGAAAACAATGACTCTAACTACAATGAAATTGTCCCCAAATAGCAACCTCACCGACCTTCTTTCAAATGCCTATAAATGCATTTCTATTTCTCTTCAGTAGGTCTCTTGAGAGCTGTAAGTCTAGAGGAATGGTGAAGTGATCTTGCCAGATATTCTAAAAAACTCTTATATGGCAACCACTCCAACAGTAATTAAAGGACTATGATTGTTCTTAGCTTTTTATTTTCTTCAACGAATCCCTCTTTAGAAAGAAGAAACACACATATGCACACCACATGTACCAGACGACCAAACACTGACAAGATTCTTTTTATCATAGGGGTTGATAAATATACAACATACCTCATCTATGCTAATGGTACATATTCTGAACAGGTCATAACACACTTTCTTACAAGTGCCAGTAGTATCCTTGGAATTATTCTTTATTTAAAACTTCAGGAAACTGTAATCAGTTAAAACTAGTCCTCAGAGTGAAAGCTACTTAACATTCTGACAATTAATTACACAAACACACACTGAGGTCTGTGACTATACAACATATTAGTGGTAGATCTACAACTAGATTCCAGGATTCTTATTTCCTGAGACTAGTACTCTTTCCTCCACAAAGTGTTGTGATGGCTTATTAGTAAACTAATGATATTTGTAACAGTTTGCAATGCCTGTACTTGTCAAGCAGAAAATTATTGAAAAAATATTAATCCACAGTTCCTTGGATGGCATTTAAAAAGATCCATATCATAAAAATAACTTCTAAAAGCCCTTCTAAATGTTAAGACAGTGAGAAAATTGCTAATTAAATGCCTAATTATATATTTACTGTAGATATGTCATCAGGCTAAATTAATATCACGGTAAAGCTGTATGCAAGTGTGCCTTTTTTGAACTTCAGAGTATATTCGTGTTTTCTTGTATAATTAAAGTTTGTGAGTGTTAATGTCAACTGTATAGGCCATTTATAAGGATTACGATGGTCAGTATTCTGAGAAATTAAGAGAAATACATGGGACATGCCCTTATCTTAGAAGATAGGTGTGAGCT